TGCATTGAGACGTAAAGTCCTGGGCCTCTCCTTAGTCAGACTCTTTCTCCACCAGACACAGGCCCAGCAGCAACGCGGGAGCTGAGGTGGCCGCGTGCAGGGCTCACTTTGGGTCGGGAAAGTACGGGCTCGTGTGCTGGCACGGGCAAGGAGGAAGGGGATGGGCTGAGCCCAAACAGGTTCCTAGGGCTGCTCCAAGAGCACCACAGAGGGTGGCTGAAAGTGACAGGAGTGTCCTCCCACACACTGCTGGAGACGGAGGTCTGCAGTCACTGTCCCCAGGCCCCGGGAAGAATCTTCTTTGCCTCTTCCCAGCTTCCAGTGGTAGCTGGGACCCCCGGTGCTCCTGGCCTTGCAGCTGCCTCGCTTGTTTCTGCCTGCACTGTCACACGGCACCCGCTCTGCGTCCAAACTTCGTTCTCACAGGGACACCAGTCATCAGCTGAGGGGCCACCCTGTGAGCACACCCCAACTGGATTACACCTGCAAAGACTCTTCACAAAAAAGCTCACAGGGGTTAGGACCTCAGCACGTCTTCCAGGGGGACATAATTCAACCCACAAGAGGGAAAGAGGATGTGCAGATCAACGCCGACGACATTGCCAACTCTTCCCAACAGCTGTCCAGGACAGGTCCCGGCTGAGCTTGGGGAGACAAGGAGCAAAGGGGGCTGAGCCGGTTCCCCACAGACACTCAGGGGCCGGAGCCTGGGGCTGCCTGTGTAGGGGAAAGGTCTCTCTCTAGACAGGGAGAGCAGGCTAAGGGCCTCGTTAGGTTTCCTGGCTAATCCTGACTAGAAAGAGGGAATATTAACAAGACAAAAGGGAGAGCTGAGACGCAAAATGCCAGGTGCACTAACCAAAATAGCCATTCCTCCTCACCGACAGTAAAACGCAGGAGACCAAGTGGGAGGGGGCTGTTTATTTTAAAGGGAAACTCCTATTCAGTATATAAAAATATATACTCCTCTCTATGCGCTTAGATGTGGTCTCGCTCTAGGGTCGCTATATTAACTGCACTGGGTATGCACGTCTCCCCAGGTCTCCTTACTTAATCACTAGCTCTGAGCTACCTGGTGTTCAGGCTGTTCCTAACCAACCTAGAGGTCCCAGAGATAAGGCCCTGACAGGGACCAACTGGCAAGAGGAAGGGGATGGGCTGAGCCCAGACAGGTTCAAAGTGAGCTCAAAGTGTGCACATTGGTGACAATGCCAGGGTTAGGGTCCTGTGGCTTGGGATCCCTCAGAAGGCAGCACAGAGAGCAGATCAGATTGTGACAAGTTCCTTGTACCCACCTGAGGGGGAAAGGGCCCTTAAAATCTAACCTAAGGAGCAGGAGATGGAGGATCCATCTTTCCAGAACCCCCTGCCAACCTCTGCCGGGCAGCCGTCTTCTGCTTTTTCCTCCGCACAAATAAAGTGTCTTTCTTTCTTGAGCCCTGCACCATTCATTCCTTTTTTTTTTTTTTTTTTTTTTTTTTTTTTTTTTTTTTGTCTTTTTGAGATAGGGTCTCACTATGCAGTTCAGGCTGGCCTTGAGCTCACTTTGTAGCCCAGGCTAGCCTCGAACTCGCAGCGATCCTCCTGCCTCAGCTTCCCAAGTGCTGGGATCACAGGGGTGTGCCACCACACCCAGCTCATTCATTCTTTATTGGTGCTGAGTTTACAACCCGTAGCTGCTCACCCCAGTGGAGCAGCTGCAGTGCTCACCCCCGACAGAACACCAGCAAGCTGGAGATTTAGGGGTGGCCATTACCCCCTGTGCTGCCCCATCTCTGAACCCACAACTTAGGAAGTTTGCCTCGCTGCTTCCCCCATCAGATAAGAAGAAAGAATCCATGCGCCAGGCCATGTCCTCCTCTCTCCTGGGCCTTGGCTGGAGTGGTTCCCTCCACCTGGACCACTTTCTCTCCCACCGGCCACGTTACCATCTCCGTCCCTGTCCTCAGCTCCCCACTCAGCTGTCCCATCCTGGCTGGAGTCTCTCCTTCCCAGGCCTGGCTGGTGTCCCCATAAATTAAAGTCCACCAGGGCAGTGGCCACTGTCCTCCCTGCTCCCAGCTCACCAACCATGTTTTGGTCAGAAGAGTGAATGAGGTAAAGCTCTGCATGAACACAACACGTCAGGTCAAGGCCCCCTCCCCTGCTGTCCTCGAAAGACAAGTGTGAGAATGCCTGGGCGCAGGAACTCATTCGCCTTGGGTTTCCCACAGGCGCTGCCTCCAAAACAGAAACGATGCTCAAATAAACTCAAAAGCGAGGAGGGGAGTCCCAGGCCCAAGCACTGCCAGGGAAAAGCACCCCAAAACTCCGCAGAAAGAACAAAAAAGAATTTGCTGTCTCTTTGCACGCACAAAGGATAGAAAAGAGATTGTTAATAGAAAACCCTTGGCTGATTCTCTTCCCTGTCAGCTTCCAGCTCTCTCTGGTCTCTTACCTGGGAGCCTTGCACTGCCCAGGATCACAGAAAAACAAGATTTTCCTCCATGACGACACACTGAGGGGAGCCTTCTGCTGTAACTACCCACAAACTGATCAGACTCGCAGCCCCTAGAGAAGCTGTGGAGAGTTCTCTTTTCCTTTCTTCTTTTTTTACCCCCTTGTTCCCTCTTTTTTTAATTTCCTTTCTTTGTCAGCACTTGGGATTGAACCCAGGGCCTTCCTAGTAAGCTAATCCCTAGCCCATTTTTTTGTTGTTGTTGTTTTTTTTTGTTTTGAGACAAAGTCTTGCTAAATTACCTAGGCTGGGCTTAAACTCACCATCCTCCTGCTTCAGCCTCCCACAGGGCTGGGATTACTGGTATGTGTCACCGTGCACGTTTCTTCAGAATGTTTCTTTATTCATTTACAGTGAGAAGGTGGCAGGTGATGCCCTCCTGTCCAGACAGCTCCACAGAAGCGGTCCTGCAGCTGCACCCCATGGGAGCCCCATTCTGATCAGAGACCTTGCAGGGCACATTTGGCAGAGCACAGACCCCGGGGGCTGCCTCTGAGAGCCAGGATGCCCTCACCTCTGGCCAGGGCTGGGACAGTCCTGTCAGCAGCTGGCTGTGGGTATTTCCTTTATTTGCGCTTTTGAACGGCAGCTCTTGACAGTCTGGAGGTTCCATTTTGAGATCCAATGGAAGCCACAGACCCAGCAGCTAGAAACTCCCCTCTAGCACTGGGCTCTGCATCCTGGGAAGGGCCTGAGACAGTGCCAGGTCCCCAGCTCCCTTGCCCCTCTGGCCGGTATGCAGGAACGTGGCTTTTTCTAGCCCCGCTTGGAGCCTGTGGCTAAAGTAGAAGAGCAGCGATGATGGACACTACTCTTACACAGGGTCCCCAAATCCTGCTCCCTGTCTTCCACTCCTCTCTCCACGCCCAGCCGGCCAGCTGCAGGGAATGCAGGGAGCTCTGAGCGCTCAGAGAAGCCAAGGGATGGGCCTGGCCCCTGCATGGCTGTCTAGACCCCAGCTTCCCGACCCAAAGCGGACCTGCTCTGCACAGAGACCCGAGGAGGAAAGGAGCACAGACAGGTAAGTGGGCCTGGGGCCCGGCGGGCTCTTGTTGGATGACCCTGACCACCACAGCCCTGCTCAGCCTGTCCTGATCGCGGCCAAACCCATCACTGGGTTTCACGGCTTTGGTGCTGGGTACCAGAGCCAGCGCCTCCCGCAGGCCAAGTGCAAGCTGTGGCTCCTGCGTCCACGGGGTACTGAGTCACACAGCCACTCCAGCTCCTCTCTCCCTAGCCTTCATGCGAGTCACCGGGTTCCCGGTCTTTGGTCATATTTTTTGGGGGGTACTGGGAATTGAACTCACAGCCTCACGCTTGCCAGGCAGGCGCTGTGCCGCTGAGCTATATCCCCAGCCCCTTTGGTCACGTATTTGCACACCCTCTTGGTTAACTCCCACGCTGGCAACTGTGTCTGTCATGGTGACCAGGGCTTGAGGCCAAGAGAAACTATATTAATCCTTGAGCCGCCTTGAGTGTGTCGCTTGACCACTTGTGTCCCCGTTTGCATCGCAGGCTTCTCTCCTTCACTCCCTCCCGCTGAGCCCGGGGTGCTTCCTGCACACAGAGGCCTGGGAGCCTCCCCTAGGCGCGGGCCCCGGCGCCCATCACCAGGGTGGTGGCAGTGCCCGACTGCTCACCCCCTCCACCCCAGCAGTGCTGCCTCTGCGGGCTGTGAGTTCCGAGGCGCCCTGCCCAATGGGGACCTGGCCCGAGGGCTCTGCAGCCGCACACTACCATTCCTCCTGAACCTTCAGCTGGCCCCCAGGGGACATGGGCAGCAGCCCCTGGGTAGACCCGAGAGCCATTGGGGGCCACAGCGATTCCAGCCCTTACGTCCTCCACTCAGACTTTCAGGACACTTTGTTTTCTTCTTCCTTTCCCTAAACACTCTTCTTTATTGGGGGAGGGGTGGTTTTTGGTTTTTCTCCGGTACCGGGAATCAAACTCACAACCTTGTGCTTGCCAGGCAGGCACTTTGCCACTGAGCTAAATCCCCAGCCCCAACCTAAACACTCTTCTGACTAATATGAACTGTGGGTCCACGGAGCCAGAGATTTTTCTAAGAGAAAAGGCAAGGAGGAGGCAGGAGGTAGGAGCTCCGGGAGGGCCCTGGGTTTGTCCTTCCAGCGCTCACCCTGGATCAAAAGCCAGGCAGGAAGCTCTTAAGAGCATTGCTCAAGAGCAAAGGGGGCCAGGAGGTGTCAGGGGCTGCTAGGGGGAAATCACTCCAGCTGCTCCCCAACCCCGGCCCTGCCTCAGTGTACCTCCCACAGCCCCGAGAGCTGGGACCAAGCTCCTTGTTGGAAGGGAGCCACGAGTCCTGGCCTGTGGGAGTTAAGGTAGGGGTGAAGTGAGCTGGACAGGCCATCAGCCAGGCAGGGGAGAGGGCAGGAATATCCCTGCTGGGAAGAGGCAGGAACAAAGCACCTAGAGGGCTCTCCACCAGAAGGGCAAACACTGAGGTCAGGTGCTCCGTGGAGACTGCCCGGGCCCTCTCCCCCAGCTATAAGAGCCCCTGGCCCACGCTGGCACCCAGCTGCTGCGGCGTCATGGCCAAGTCATACCTGCTGCCCTGGCTGCTGCTGCCCCTGCTATGTGGCCCTGGTGCTGGTGAGTTGCCCCAGCCTCCCCCTCAGAGGCAACTCTGCCATGCTCTGAGCCCTGTGCCCACAGTCACCTCAGGTCTGTACAGAATGTTCTTTTCAAAGACAAGTCATGTGAGGCTCAGAGAGCTCCTGGGTTCATCCAAGGACACACAGCCAGCAGGAACTGGTGCAGAGGGAACCCAGAGCTGTCTTATGTGCTTGCATTCCCAGCAAATTGAATTTGAGGCTGGGTGAAATCAAGCTGCCAGATGTCATCTGGAGCCTGACCAAGGTTGTTCTGGCCCCAAACTTTAGCTGTCTGGACCGCCTCATCGCTGGCCTGTACCCAAGGGCCCAAGTTCTGGTGCCAAAGCCTGGAGCAAGCATTGCAGTGCAAAGCCCTAGGACACTGCCTTCAGGAAGTCTGGGGACATGTGGGAGCCGTGAGTCCCACCCAAGGGCACTGGACGGGCTCTGAGGGGGCCTGAAGGGATGGGAGCTCCCAGGGAGGACTGGGACAGGTGGGTGGGAGGAGATGGATGGAAGAGATGACACAGGATGGGATAAAGCAGGATGGACGGGATGGAATGGCTGGACTAAGATGACATCAAATGGGACAGAGTAAGACGGCTGGGATGGGCAGAATGGGATGGGCTGGGGGAGGGGTGTGGTGGACGGGAGGATGGGGTGGTAGGCAGCTGCTCAAAAGCTGGATGGCCCTGTCACCGTGCCTGAGAGGGCCCCACCCCCAGAGCTGGTGCACGGCCCCACTCACGCCCCCCACCTTGGGTTCCCCCAGGATGACCTGTGCCAAGAGTGTGAGGACATCGTCCGCATCCTCACAAAGATGGCCAAGGAGGCCATTTTCCAGGTGATGAGGCCCAGATCCTGGCTGAAGTTTGGGGAACAAGAGATGAGGGACAGAGCAGAGAGGCGGGGTGAGGCCTGGGACTCCAAGCTCCCGGCCAGGCCCAGGCCCTGGGACTGAGCTCACCACACATGGTCCAGCCTGAGCGGAAGAGAGGTGCAGTAGCTGGGCTCCTGTGTCCAGCTACTGAATCCCCTGGCACTCTGAGTCCCGGTCCCAGTCTGCCCTGGCAGCAGCCCAGCATTAAGGGACAGGGGCAGGGGCAGGGGCAGGGGCAGGAGCAGGGGTAGACCTCGGAGAGGCCAGGCGAACCGTCTGCTCTCTGTCCTAGAAAACCATTCGGAAGTTCCTGGAGCGCGAGTGCGACGTCCTTCCCTTGAAGTTGCTTGTGCCCCGGTGCCGCTCTGTGCTCGAAGACTACTTCCCCCTGGTCATCGACTACTTCCAGAGCCGCATCGTGAGGGTTCCCGCCTCCCCTTCTGCCCGCCCGCCTGACCGCTAGAGCCAGTGACTCACGTGACAGCAGACACACACGCACCACAGCACCCCAGTCAGACACCCCCACCTCGCACCCCAGTTACACACACATAGCCCAGGAGCCCAAGCACCCTTCGTCCAGCCCGGCAGCCACCCGGATTGGCACCCATCAGGCGAGCAGCGCCAGCCCCAGGCACACACCTCACACTTATTCTCACACGAGTGCTCACACTCATCACACGCTTTCTTGGATACCTGCCCCAAATCCCCACAGGACCCCTCTCTGCCTTTGTCCCCCACCATAGAGCCCTAAAATGCAGCACCCTGACCTGCTCCCCGCCACTCCATGCCCAAAGACAGTGGCCCTCACCCCAGCACCCATGGGTCCCCTTGTGCCTCCCATGGCCCCTCACCTGCACCGTTCCTAGACCCCAAAGGACATCTGCCAGAACCTGGGCCTGTGCCAACCCGGGCAGCCAGAGCCGGAGCTGGAGCCAGAGCCAGGGAGGCCGGACCCTCCGCCTGGCTCGCTGCCGGAGCCTCTTCCAGACAAGCCGGTGCAGCCCAGGCTGCCGAGGGCCCTCTCAGTGTGGCCTGGGCCTCACACCCAGGTGAGGGGCCCCAGGGACCGACGGGGATCCAGAGGCTCTACGGCAGCTGGGAGCCAGGTGCTCTTGGGCCCTGGGAGGAGCAGAGCCGGAAGGGACCTGGAGCTCCGGCCTGGGCTAAATGAGGAGGGGGCGCAGGGGAGGTGGAGGCCTGGAGGTGCAGGAGGGTGGGCAGAGCACAGCTCTCCAGCGGGCCCAGCCCCTGCCTCATTCCCTCCCCCAGGAGCTCTCCGAGCAGCAGCTCCCCATCCCGCTGCCCTTCTGCTGGCTCTGCAGAACTCTGCTCAAGCGGGTCCAGGCCATGATTCCCAAGGTGAGGCGTGCAGAGGGCCCAGCTCCCCTCCCCCACTCCAGCTCCCACTGTCGGGAGGGAAGCTGCCTTCCGTTATCCTCAGCCAAGGGACCCTGAGCTCAGGCCCAGGGGTGCCAGGCCTAGAGTTCACTCAGTGAGCATGAAGGCCTGGCTGTGCAGGCACGGGGCCAGGTACCAGTGTGTGAGACCCAGTGAGCTCATCCTCAGCAGCTCAGGAGTCCCAGCGGCTCTGAAGAAAAGATGCTTTAATGTCCCCCCCCACCCCCACCCCACCCCCGGTACCGGGAATCAAACTCATGACCTTGTGCTTGCCAGGCAGGCTCTGTGCCGCTGAGCTAAATCCCCAGCCCCCTAGCTTTAATGTCTTAAAAGGAGAATTTCTGCGGGAGGATCCCCTCTCACTGCCCGAATCCAGCGTGGAGTCCAGATCTGTCATGGCCTTTACCCAGGGAGCCCCTCAGCCCTGCCCAAGTGGGTCCTGCAGGCCAGCTGGTCACTGACTGGCCAAGACTGTGCTGGGGTGGCGGGGTCGGGGCTGTTGGTTCAGTCAGTGCCTGAACAGTGGGGTCACATGGGATAAGGTGACAGACAGTGACAGGGATCAAGCCAGTAGGTCTGGGAGTCGCTGAGGAGGTAACGGTTCAGCTGAGACCTAGAGGACAGTGAGGCTGTGATAGGCCAAGGGCCCAAGCAAGGTGAGTCTGGCAGGCCTGAGGAATGGAAGGCCAGTGTGGCTACAGAGGGACAGCCAGCAGGAGAGACCAGAGAGCTGGGCCTGGCCAGGCCCTTAAGACACTGTCACAACATGTTAAGAAATGAGGGGTTTGGGGATGGGGATGTAGCTCCATGGTAGAGTGCTTGCCTAGCATGTGTGTGAGGTTCTGGATTCCATCTTTAGTCTTGAAAAAGACTTTAATTAAAAAAAAAAACTGAGCACGCTGGCATATGCCTATAATCTCAGCTACTCAGGGGGCTGAGGCAGAAGGATCTTGAGTTTAAAGCTGACCCAGGTAACACAGTGAAACTCTGCCTCAAAATAAAAAGGGGGCAGGGCTTGGGATGTAACTCAGTGATGGAGTGCTTGCTCTGCATGCAGGGTCTTATATTCGTCTCTAGTACTACAAAAAAGGAAAAGAAACAAAGAAACAAAGAGTTTTGTTCTGAATGCAGTTTACAGCTATTGCAGCATTTCAAGGAGTGGGAAGGATCACTTCCACTGTTAGCAGGACAGATTGGGCAGTTGAGGGGTGAGGAGGACTGCAGGATTGATGGGAGATTCCTGCAGGAATAGCAGAGGAGGCGTGGGGCGGGGGCAGAGCTGAGAGGGCAGACGGGATGCTGGGGGAGGTGAGCCCGGCTGAACTTGGTGACCAGTGGCCTTCAGGAGTGAGGACAGCAAACGAATCCTGATGACTCTGTAGACTCGGTCTCTGGTGGTGCCACCAGCAGAGATGGGTACTTGACATGAACCAGGCTCCAGAGGGAGGCAGAGCGTCTCTCTGGGCCGTGCTAAGCTGGACTGCCTGTGCCATACCCAAGACGAGAGAGGTCGAGTGCGGGGCTGAACACCGGGCCCTGGAGACAGGGCCAGCCCAGCAATGCCTGCTGCACAGCCCTGGCTTGGACCAGGTTGAGTGCACCCAGGGGCAGGGTGCGGACAGGTGCAGCGGGAGGCCTGGGCAAGCCAAGGGGAGCAGCCACAGAAGAGGGGTAGCCGGTGAGGTGGAGGATCACAGCGTGGCACCACAGAAGCCACGGGAAGGCCTTTGGGGAAGGGGCATTCACGTAGGCCGAAGGCGCTGACGATCAGGCAAGACGAGAGATGACCAGTGGGTGTGGCAACGGAGCCGCCGCTGGGGACCTGAGAGCTGTCTGGAGGCAGCGGTGGGGACAGAAGCTCAAATGGGAGCCAGGCGTGGTGGTGCGCACCTATAATCCCAGCACTCAGCAGGCTGAGGCAGGAGCATCACTCTGAGATCAAGGCCAACCTGGGCTACATAATGAGTTCAAGGCCAGCCTGAACTGCCTAGCAAGACCCTGTCTCAAAAACACACCAAAAAAAAAAAAAAAAAGATAGAGAACTAAATGGAGCAGCTTCTGGGAGAGTGGGAGAGGATGAGACTGCACAGCAAGTCCCGCCCACATCAGCAAGGAGCTGTCCTGGAAGGGAGCAGGAGGGGCAGTAGGACAGTGCCCTAGTGACGGCCTGGGCTTTGACATCGCAGCAGAGAGGAGGCCGGTGTGGATCAGACACAAGCCGGGTGCACCCAGTGAAATGCACCCTGAAGCGGCACGCACCGCCAAGCCCTCCTTGCCCCACCCCCGGGCACGGGGCCAGCCCGGCACACGTGGGGAGGGATAAAGGGGCAAGGAAAGACGCTCCACGCTTGCTGACTCTCTCCTGCCCTCCACCTCGGGGGCTGTGTTTGGAACTGGGGTGGCAGGGAAACTGCTGGCTTTCCCCAGAGGTGCTGAAGCCAGGGACGAGGTGGCTCCAGCAGCCAAAGGTAGGCGTCATCTGTCATCTGCTGGACGGGGGATGGAGAGGGAGCCCTGAGTCAGGAGGAGGAGGCTCAGCTGCTGCTTCCAGCTCTCGCGCAGCTGCGCCCCTTTCAGGGAGCCTGGAGGCTGGGCAGCCGGGCCTGGGTCCACTGCCAGCTACGGCAGTCACTCAGCGACTCCAGGTACGTCTGGTGTCCTCTGGTCTCCCTGGCCTTCAGTGTCCTTGTCTAAGCAGCAGGCCTCTCCCTGCTGGAGGGAAACAAGAGCAAGTATACAAAACTGCCTTGCTGAGCCAGGCCTGGTGGTGCATGCCTGTATCCCAGCATTCCAGAGGCTGAGGCAGGAGAATCACCGCCAGTTTGAGGTCGGCCTGGGCTGCCTAGTGAGACCCGGTCTCCAAAACAACCAAAGTTCCCAGCAGGTGCTGGGCACAGAGTAGAGCCTTGCGAAGGTCCCATCTGCCCTCTCTCCACCCCCGCCCCAGGGTGTGCTGGCCGTGGCTGTGGCCCAGGTGTGCCACGTGGTGCCCCTGGTGGTGGGTGGCATCTGCCAGTGCCTGGCGGAGCGCTACACAGTCCTCCTGCTGGACGCACTGATGAGCCGCATGCTGCCCCAGCTGGTGTGCGGCCTCATCCTCCGGTGCTCCATGGAGAACAGCGCTGGCCCCGGTGAGCCTGCCACCACCCACTCCTGCCCTCACCCTCAGCCTTCCCCATGCCCAACCCTCTCCCACTTCCTGCCCCTCCCTGGTGCCCTACTGTGCAGGGAGCGCAGGAATCGGACACTTCCGCAGGACAGATGCGACCCTTTTCTCTCTAGTCCTCCCCGCGCTGTCCCTGTCAGAAGAATGGCTGTCGCAGGATTCCGAGTGCCACCTCTGTGTGTCTGTGACCACCCAGGCCTGGAATAGCAGCCAGCAGGCCAGGCCCCAGGCCATGCGCCAGGCCTGCCTCAGCTCTCCATTGGACAGGCAGAAGGTGCGGGGCGGCACACGGGGATGTGGGACCCAGGGTCTGACTGTGACGGCGGGCTGGGGTAGAAAAGCTGAACTGGAGACACACAGAGCGGGCTGGACCGGAGCCCGGCCAGGCAGACAGAACAGGTCTGGACTACAGCGGGACTGTGATGGGCGACAGCTGCTGAGGGTCAGAGGTTGGTCCAGACTCAGGCTGTGGCGTCCTGAGGACCAGAGCCCTCCTTCAAGGCTGAGTTGTGGCAAATCTCAGAAGGACCTATGCTGCCCTCTCTCGGCCCCTGCTCTAAGAGGTGCTGGCCGTGGCTGAGGCCCAGGACTGCGCCCCATGATAGCCGTCCCTCCTGCTGGTGGGTGGCATACACCAGTGCCCAGTAGATACCAGGAGAAGAGTAAGCCCAGGGCCAGCTGCAGCCAAGAACAGCCTGGCCTCCTTTCCAGATTCCTAGTCCTGTCCCTGCCCTACCCTTCTCACAGTGTAACTCAGCTGGGACAAAGCCACTTACAAAAGGAGAAGGCTGGGCTTGAAGGTCCTAGAGGCCCTGCCAATACTAGGTAGGTGATAATAAACTCCCTTTTGTGAGTAAGATGGTGAGCCGAGCATGGTGCACGCCTGCAATCCCAGCACTCAGGAGGCTGAGGCAGGAGAATCACCACAAATCTGAGACCAGTCTGGGCTATGTAGTGAGTTCAAGGCCAGCCTGAACTACATAGCAAGACCATGCCTCAAAAAACAAAAAGAAAGAAAAGAAGACGAAGAAGGAAAAAGAGGAGGAGGAGAAGAGGAAGAGGGGAGGAGGGGAAGGGGGAAAGGAAGGAGAGTGTCCTGAAGAGAGCTGACTGAGTCTGAGTCTCTTCCAGGGAGACAGCTCCAATGCCCTGGCTTTTCCACGGAAACCCTGCAGCTCAGCCCCACAGGCTTGTTCAGTCTTAGTTTGAGCCAGAGTGGCTCATGGGCTGATGACTGGCCCCACACCTAGGGTCCAGAGGGAGTCCCAGAGTGACCCTGAGAGGTGGAGATGCCAGGACATCAACATAGGAAAAGCCTGAGTCCACCCACTGTGTCTGTCTTTCCTCAGTGCGAGCATTTTGTGGAGCAGTACACGCCCCAGCTGCTGGCCCTGGAGCCCAGGGCCGGTGATGCCCGTGCTGCTTGCCAGGTACCCACTCTCTAGCTGACCCTGGGACCCCCCTTGGCTCCCACAGTGCCCTGTCTGGCCCTCGGCCCTCAGGGGCCTCACTGTCAGGCCCCCACATTTTCACATAGGAGAGGCCTTGGTCACAGAGAGGTAGAGAAGCCATCACCACAGAAAGCAAAGGGAGCCCTGTGGAAGGGGAGGGATGGCCTGGCGGCCGCATACCTACAGGAGTATGGTCAGTGGGGCTGATATGGTCAGATGGGGCTGGTCAGTGTGTGCCTGGTGGGGCAGGGGACAGAGTGGCCATAGTGGGCCTAATATTCCCAAGAGGCACTAGGGGTCTCTGAGGTTACACCAAGAGTGCCCACCAGGTGGCAGGTAGAGAGCTTTCTCTCTGGGGAGCCTCTGTGTCTGCCTCAGAGCTGGAAGCAGGGAGCTGCAGCCCTAACTCCGTTCCTCCGGCAGGCCCTGGGCGTGTGTGAGGCCAGCAACCCTCTCCAGTGTTTCCAGATCCCCCAGTTCTGACGAGAGCTCAGCCTCCAGGTGAGTTCCGGCATAACTGGGGGGCAGAGAGGGACAGGTCCTTCCTGGTCAGGGTGGGAGGTGGTCCTGTTCCCAGCAGGAATGGGGGTCACTCTGAGGTCATGGCTGCACCCTGTCTCGCCCCTTCCTACCTCCTCAGGCCCAGCTCCAGGCTCCTGAGGGCCTCTGGTGGCGCCATCAGGAAAGAGCCCTTCCTTGGGCCCTGGCCCCTGCCCTCCCCTCAGAGCCTCCTCCTCACCCTGTCCCAGCCCTCTCAGCACCTGACTCAGACCCCTGGTCACCCTCCTCGCCCTTGGCACGGGCTACCTTCCTGACCGGATGTGTTCAGGCCAAGGAAGGCCTCAGGGGATATCAGATCCACTCCCCAAAGCGGTCTCCCCTCAGATGTCACGAAGAGCACTCACCTGACTCCACCTCCTGACCCCCATTTCTCCTGCCCAGACCCTCATTTTCTAGGTCAGGGTAGCATCTTAGGGTGGAGGGTTGACTCAGAGGCAGATTCCATGACCAGTGCCTGAGGGCCATGAAACAACCCCGAGACAGAGCAAGAGTGGCCTTGAAGTGGCCTGAAGAGCAAACTGGGGCCACTGCACAAATCTGCTCAGAGCCAGCCCCTAACAGGACGGTCATTTACTCATTTATTCATTCACTTTTCAAAAATTTCATGAGTGAGTCAGGCCACACCCTGGCAACCAGGGCTGTGGGTAAGAAGAAAGAGGGAGACCCAGTCCCCTCGCGCATGGCCAGGACCACCGCTTCCCTCTGAGGGGAAGGACTCAGGCCTGCCTTGGAACCCTGAGAAGCACAGTGGCTGAAGGACAGAGGCTCTGGCTCTCCTGAGCTCTCACCATCGTGGGCCCTGGCCCGCTACCCTCACCAAAAAGGAGCCTCACCATCCACACTCGCCCTTCCCTGTCCTTTCTTCACAGAACCTCACACTAGGGAGCCACGAGCCCCAGCCTGCGCCTTCAGATGTGTCAGCCCTGTCTGTCCCAGCTCCATCCACAGCCCGGCACCAGAGCCACTCTGTGCCCTGGAGAAGGAAGCAGATTCCCACACACCACAGGCAGGCCTGGCTCCCACAGCCTCTGGGCCGGCTGAGGAAAAACTGCCCGGCTCCAGCAGGATGGTGGGGAGAGGCTGGGCCCAGCCTCCCACCGACTCCATGCACTCCACAGAGGCTTTTATGGTTGTTTGCTAACACGCTTGCAAAATTCAAAACTTGAAAGAATAAAAAACGGGAACATAAAGTACCTAAAAGATAAATATATGAAATCCTTAAGTAAGGCCTTTTGAAAAAATCAGGAAACTGCTGGTGTGGGAAAAATGCATACCACATGCTCCTGCACGATGAGAAGGTGGCTGAGCAAACTTCCGTATTTGAAATGTTCTGCTTGAGAGCTGTTGCTCGGTTAAGATACAAAATTGAATTTTAAAGGCTAGATGTGTAGCTTGGTGGTAGAACACTTGCCTAGCATGCACAAAGCCCTGGGCTCAATTCCCAGCACAGCAAGACGGGGTATCGGGAACCTACCGAGGTAGGTTCCTTCTTGTTTTGTTTTATTTTTTGTTTGTTTGGTTGGTTTTTTTTGAGACAGCATCTCACACTGTAGTCCAGGCTGGCCTCACACTCACACCAATCCTCCTGCCTCAGCCTCCTGAGTGCTGGGATTACAGGGTACACTAGCATGCCTAGCTCCTTTTTATTTTTTTGTAAGGTGAATTTACCAACCTTTGTTTGAAATGTACTTGCTCAAAGTTCAATTGGGGCACTGCATGCCAAGGATCAGTTTCTATGTGACACAATGTCTGTTATACTAATAAAGTCCTGTTTGCTCGTGCAAAAAAGAAGACATTGTCCTTTAAGGCGCGGCATGAGCCGCAGCCTCACCCTGAAGCCGGCAGGGCTGGGACCCACCTCACCCTGTCACTTGGCAGAGCAGAGCATCATCTCTTTCCCTCAAACTGCCTGCAGCCTGGCCTCTCACTGTTATCCTTCCCTCTCCCAGAGAGAGCTGCCATAGTGTGAGGACACCAAAACATCTAAATAACAAGCACGCCTGGTGACTGTTAATCCTGATGTGTCAGCTTCGTTGGATTAAGAAACTCCTGGCAGATTAGTAAAGCATGCTCCTGAGTGTGTCTGCGTGGGTCTTTGAGGCGTGGCCTTGGGTGCGTTATTTGGTCCCTACCCCATTCCTCTCTGGCACTGCTCCTCTGCTCTGCTTCCTCACCATCCCGAACTAAGCAACTGTGCTCCACCATGCCCTTCCGCCATGCCGGAGCGAGCAGACCATGGACCATGGACTGAATTCCCTGATGATGTAAGCCAAATTAAACTTCTTTAAATTGTAGATGTTGGGGCTTCGGATTTAGCTCAGCGGCACAGC